TCTTCCTACACACTCTTATCAGAGAGGAGGGGAGCTTAGTGCTGCCTAGCATTTTGGGGTTTGATCGCTGTCGTGAAGTTACCCACCCCAAAAGGCCTGCCCTCCTACCAAAAGTCCATTACGTTTTGCAGACGAAACCACAGGCATCTGTGCCACACACGGTTATGCTCGTTCAGTTCGGTTGCTTTGTAATCTCTTGATAGCAGAAGAAACCTGCCCCTGTTCCCTTGACACCCTACATAACAGACCTGCTCCTGTCATCTGCAGGGCCCAGGAGAAAAAGTGCAAGACATGTTGGGCCTGAGCCAGCACTAGGGTGAGGCAAGGGAGGCAACATTTTTATTTAAAAAAATTTGTTTAATGTTTATTTATTTTTGAGAGAGAGAGAGAGAGACAGAGTGCGAGTGGGGGAGGAGCAGGGAGAGAGGGAGACCCAGAATCTGAAGCAGGCTCCAGGCTCTGACCGTCAGCACAGAGCCCGATGTGAGGCTCAAACTCACGAACTGCGAGTTCATGACCTGAGCTGAGGTCAGACGCTTAACCGACTGAGCCACCCAGGCACCCCGAGAGGCAACATTTTTTAAAAAGACAAGATCAGTAACAGTGTGGTGCTAAGCCGTATTGGAGCTTGAGGCAAAAGAAAAAATCAATAATACTGATCCTGTATTTATTAAAATTTTGGATATTTTGTTGTAGACTTCTTGCATGAATTTTCACTTTGTAACATATTGCATTAAATTTTTATTGATCTTTCTTACTGAGTTTTTGGTGCCCCCTAAATTTTGCAGCTGTGGGGGTGTCTCCCTGCCCTCACTTGGGCTTGCGGATGCACACATTGGGGCACCATCCACCCTTGCTACAGATTGGAGAAGCCTGTCCAATCCCCCAAAGTGGGCCCTGGGCTCTAAGGGCAGAGAATTCCAGGGTCTTGGCTGTGGGAAGTTGGGCTATGGATGACAGGTGGGTACGTGTCCCTAGGTCCACTGTTTCCTTGCCCTCAGAGAGGAGAGGAGAGTGGTTGGAGGAGGGCCAAAGGAACCCTCTGGACAGTAGCTCTCAGCCTCAGAGTCTCTTGGAGGGCTTGGGAAGGTACAGATCCCTCAGACTCTGATTCAGCAGGTCTGAGGTGGGGCCCCAAAGTCTCCATTTCTAATGTGCTTCTCCGTGCTGCTGCTGGTGGGTCAAGGAGCACACTTTAGAGCAGGGATCCACTGTGGGGGTCTCCTTGCCTGGGTCTAAGAAGTTGCTTGACAGATTTCTGTGCGTGGAATTCATATTTCTGTGCGCGGAGTTCGGAGGGGCTCAGCGTTCTTTACCAGACTTGTCTTCAGATCTTTGGTCGAGCAGCATGTCCAGAATGTACCGTTCAAGGGAAAAGATGTCATACTTTTCTGCTTTCCTGGCCAATCTTCGCTTTGTCACTGTTATTAATGAGGGTTTCTCCAGGAGGCTGGGCACTGCTTTAGAGTGAATCATTGCTATAGATTTTTTTTCCTGTAAATTTCTTGCATGATGTATGGAAATGAGAGCTACAGTGGCTGATGTTAAGTAGTGTTCTTAAGTACCCCTAGATTTGTTTTTAAGATTGTGTTTTAAGGGGCGCCTGGGTGGCGCAGTCGGTTAAGCGTCCGACTTCAGCCAGGTCACAATCTCGCGGTCCGTGAGTTCGAGCCCCGCGTCAGGCTCTGGGCTGATGGCTCAGAGCCTGGACCCTGTTTCTGATTCTGTGTCTCCCTCTCTCTCTGCCCTTCCCCCGTTCATGCTCTGTCTCTCTCTGTCCCAAAAAAATAAATAAACGTTAAAAAAAAATTTTTTTTAAATAACACATTATTTTAAAAAATACATAAGAACTTTCAGATAATGTTTTTACATATAAATCAGAAAATTTTAAATGTCTTATCAACCCTCCACCCAATGACCCTGATGGATGGTAGCAGTACCTACTGCAAGTACAAAAGAAAGTAAAAGCCACCTTTCCATCCTTCCCTCTATTCTCCAGCCCTTTTCTCCAATATTCATATTTTTGTGATTTCTTTCAGGAAAAAAAATTTTATTCTAAAAAAGATTATCTCTCTATTTTTATACAACACTAGCATAGGATAAACACTTGACACCTTGCCTCTTAACTTAATAATTTATCTCGGACACATTGCCATCAGCACATAACAGATTTACCTTAATCTTGTTAAATAGCCCATAGGATTCATCACTGGGTGTCCCAGTGTTTATTTAGCCAGCTCGCCAATGAAGAACTACTTGGTTCCACATTTTTGCTATGTGAACATATCTGTAGTATCTTTGTCCATAAAGCCTGAAAAACATCTAGGAGTCCAGCCGTAGATGCAGTATCCAGTAGTGGGGTTGTTGGACAAAGGGTGTGTGTACTTTTAGGTTGGAAGGCAAGCATCATATTCCCCTTCAAAAAAGTTTACCCGATCAACCATGATGAGCATGCCTGTTTCCCCAACATTCTTGCCCACAATGGATAACATAGAAGTAAAAAGCAAAAAGTCTATTATTCCAATAGCAATATTAGTAGAAATAAACTTGTTAAGTGTACAATATCTATGTGAAGAAAACTTTAATAAGTGCCTGAAGGACCCCAAAGAAGTCTTGAATAAACAAAAATTATGCCTTGTTCTTGGATGGGAACTTGTAATATGATGAAAATATCCATTCTCCCTCAGTTAAGCTATAATTTGAACATGATCCAAAAATAATATCACTAGGAGTTGTTTTTTTTTTTTTTTTTGGAAGGAAGGTTTGATGAGCTGATTTAAAAGATGATTTAGAAAAAAAAAAAATAACAGACAAGAAGATTCAGAAACTAAATAGGAAGATAAGAAGTTTCAGGAAATAGCCTGACCAGATATTAAAATGTAATGTTAAAATTGTTAAAATAGGTAAGTAGAGGACAATCATAAACTTGAATATATTCAGGAATATAATATATGATAAAGGTAGCATCTCAAACTAATGGGAAAAAATGGATAAACATGGGGGGGTAGAATATTGAATTCATATTGAATAAATTCCAAACTGGATCAAAGATTCATATCCAAAAAATGAAATATGTAGTAGCAGGAGAATCGTTTTGTAATACCAGATGTCTCTGCTCTGATACAAAACTCAGAAGTCATTGAAGACAAGATTGAGAAATTCCACTTCATAAAAAAAAAAAAAAAATTCCTCATGACAAGACCCACTTTATGCAAAGTCAAAAAACGAACAATAAATTGGGAACAATATTTGCAAGTGATATCACAAATAAGAACTAAATCTCCTAATATATAAAGAGTTTCTACAAACCTATAGAAAAAAGGACCGATAACCCAATAGAAAACTAGGGCAAAGATTATAGTTAACAGAAAAGGCAACACAGACAGTATTTAAAACATGACATGTTCGGGGCGCCTGGGTGGCGCAGTCGGTTAAGCGTCCGACTTCAGCCAGGTCACGATCTCGCGGTCCGTGAGTTCGAGCCCCGCGTCGGGCTCTGGGCTGATGGCTCAGAGCCTGGAGCCTGTTTCCGATTCTGTGTCTCCCTCTCTCTCTGCCCCTCCCCCGTTCATGCTCTGTCTCTCTCTGTCCCAAAAATAAATAAACGTTGAAAAAAAAAAAAAATTAAAAAAAAAAAAAATGACATGTTCAATAAAAAAAAAAAATACAAATTACATAATGAGAGAAATACAGATTACCACCACAGGGATCATTTTTTCACTATGAGATTTGCCAGGGCATGGAAAAAGAAATACCTTTGTACATCACTGGGTGGGGGGAAGTGGTAAATCCATGTTACCCTGTGGAAGAAATCTGGCAATATCTGAGAAAATTACAGTGCATTTATCTTTGGTCTAGCAAATTCCTAGGTATGGAATTCCTAGGTATGATGTATTATACATGAGCACATGTGAAATTACGTAGGAGCGTAATTTTCGTCAGCATTACTTATAAAAGCAAAAGTTTGATTAATCTGTGGTACACCATACAAAGGAACACTGTTCATCTGTAAGAGGATGAAGAAGAATTCTGTGTGCTACTACTGAATGCTTTCTAAGCAAAGTATACTGTCAATTGATAAAAATTAATAAAAAATGAAATGTGTAACACTATGCTACCATTTGTATAAAAAGAGAGGGAGACATATAGACTTTACTTGTGTATGAATTCAGCAATTGTTAATGTGTATACAAAAAATGGATAATACTGATTGCCTTTAGGGAGAAAGCCTGAAGGGGGACCGGGCTGGGGTGTATACTTTTAATTGTGTATATGCTTACAGCTTTTGATTTTTGAATCTTACCTGTTCTTCTCAAAGAATTGTTTTAAATCCAAATCTTAAAATAATTCCGTAGGTGAAAAATACTTGTTTTGATATTCATAATTCTAATGTTGAGTTAATGTGAGTGTTTTTTCAAATATTGACTAGCTTTTTGTGTCTAATTTTAGGCAATTGCCTATTCATATTTTTCCTCCTCCCTCCCTCCCTCCCTCCCTCCCTCCCTCCCTTCCTAACTTCCTTCCTCCCTTCTCCCTTTTTCTTTCTTTCTTTCTTTCTTTCTTTCTTTCTTTCTTTCTTTCTCTTTCTTTCTTTCTCTTTCTTTCTTTCTTTCTTTCTTTCTTTCTTTCTTTCTTTCT